AGAAAATAAACATATATACAATACAGTCAACCATCACCTCCAACAATCAACCCGCAACTCAATATCATCATCACGAGGCTAATCAATAAAAACGATCAAGGCTCAAAGGGGATAACTAGTGACTGTTATTCGCAAAAAATGAAAAAGAAAAGGATAATACAAGCAATGCCTCAATCATATTCATGTTTCACAAATCTAATCAAGTTATTTTAAAGCAGTCTCAAGGCAAATTCTACTTAACAAGATCCGACCAATATCACACAAGAAACAAAATAGGCTCAAACCTCACAAGGTAAATATGTTCCTCAAAATAACCAAGTCAATTAATCAAAATGCAATACTCGATCACATCATCACAACTTCTCAAATTCAACCAACAGTTTTCAACCAGTCTTACAATACACCATAATCCAAGTTCAGAAACGAATAAAAACCTAACACTAGACTGGTCCACCACGCAAAAGAAAGAAATAAAACGACCTAAAAATAAAACTAGACCTGGTCAACCACATAGTCACATAAAATGCAAAAGCTCCCCCACACTTAAGAGCAGACAATGTCCTCATTGTCGACTTTCAGCGAATGGGAGCTGCACCACACAATCAACCGACTCAACAAAGAAGACAAAATACAAAAAATAAAATAAAAATAAAAGAGAAAAGAAAAGAAAAGCTGACCGACACAGTGACAAGTCACTGTGGTCCTGGACTATGAGGAGGAGGAGGATGGGGCTGGCCGGCGCCGGGACCATACTGAGCATCCCACCGGGCCTCAAGAGCCTGAAAGCGCGCGTCGAAACCTCGCATGTCTCTGTCGTAACGCTCCCCGAACTCTGCCCACCACGGAGGAGGCTGGGACCACCAAGCTGGCAGAGCAGAAGACGCAGCCAGATGCTGCTGATGATGATGTGCGGCCCGGGGTGGTCGACGATCAGAACCGGGAACAGGCTCAGGGGCAGGCTGCCAACCAGAAGGAGGCGGAAGGAGACAGCTATCGTCGAGAATAGTCTGATTAAGGTCCATCGCATCCGCCTGATGAGAATCGTCGGTCGCCTGTTGAGGACGAGATGAGCTCGTCTGTGCCGCTGAAGCAGTGGCCTCCAACTTCCTCATGTACGTGGAGTAGGCCTGGCACTGCTCATAGACCACGAAAGTGCGTCGGTCGAAGATCAAACCCGAATGGTGCAACTCAAATACGTCAATGCGCCGCATCGGAACAGGAGGACTGCCCGAAGCCGTCGGATCGACACCGAGATGGAGAGCGAAAGCTGTCACCACATGACCGAAACAGGCAGCTGCCCACTTATTCCGAAGCACTGCCCGAAACTCCTCCTTCAGATACTCGCGCACATTCAGATCCGCATGCCCGAGCATGGCCCAGAGCACGGAAAGGTCAACCTGCGTGACCTTGTTGGCCTCCTTCTTGCCAAGGAGACCATAGCACAAGAACTTGTGCATAATGGCAATCACACCGTGCTCAATGAGGCTGTTAGACATGCCCTGTGGGTCCCACACAGTGTCGGGAGAGAGCTCGTGCCAGAAACTAGCCGGAGACATGCCGGATACTGTCGAGAAGCCGTCATCCGTAAGTCCCAAAACTGTCTCAAGGGATTTGTTGCCTATGACCTGTCGGGTCCCAAGCAGCCGAAACGTCTAAGAATCGGATCCAGAAGCAGTCAGACGGAACTCAAGAGTACTAAAGAACTCGAGTGTCAAGTTCCGGTAAGTCGGATGGAAAACATCGGCATATCTCCGCAAGTGAAGCGTGGTCAAGTACTTCTCAACCGTCCTCAAAACGCCCAAATCTGAAAGTAATGAGAAGTCGAGCGTCTTTGACTTGAGGACCTCCTTTTTGGCGAGCCGGGAGTAAATTTCCCCCTCTCGTTCGTCAAGGATGGTGAAGGGGGCGTTATACTGTGCCCGTAGATCGACCGGCTCGGCTTGGGAAGAAGACTCCCCTTGCGTAGACTTCCGTTTTGTGCGTTTAGTAACCATCCTCAATAGTAAGTTCTCCTGGGCAATTTATCAAACACTTTGCGTGCGCACAACTATGAACTAGAAGCTTGAAGGAATGAACAACAAAGAACTAGCCCGAATTCGATTCCACTGGCAATGGAAATCGCAACACCACACAAACAATTCAATAGCTCGTGAAAAGAAATTCGATTACCGGTCGTCAAAACTCGAAGGAAGTTGCGAAATGTGACTTGAAGCCCGAAGAGAAAGAAGACCCGTACGGATTTATGAAGTAGGCACTGAGAGACTCGGAAACGAGCGTGGTGCGACGGAGTGCTGGGTCCACCGACCGGAGAAGGCGCCGGCGACGCACGGAGGTCCGCAAGTCGGACCTAGGGTTACGACTCTCGCGATTGGCAGAGGAGGAGTGCGTGCAAGGATCAATACCCGGAGAAGTCGAGGTCGTCGGTGAAGAAGGCCGCCGATCGCCGGTCGGAGGAGGTGGACGCCGGCGAATTTGAGGAGAGAATCTTGTCGCGATTGCGGTTTTTTTTTTTTTT